GGTAGGTTCATTTGTAGTTTTTTAAGAGTTCTCCACACTGCTTTCCTTCGGGCTGAACCAGTTTGCAGCCCCACCAGCAGTGGATGAGTGTTCCCCTTTCCCCACATCCTATCCAACATTTGGTATCATTTGTTTTCTTGATCTTAGCCAGTCTGACTGGGGTAAGTTGAAATCTTAAAGTGGTTTTAATTTGCATTTCCTTGATTATTAGTGATTTTAAACATCTTTTAAGATGTTTCATTTCCATCTTTACTTCTTCTTTTGAAAATTTTCTGTTCTGAAATATATTACTGCAATAGTATTGACTATTTATTGTTGCAAGTTAACAATAAATACTGTGTTTAGTTCTGTACCATCTTCACTGTTTATTAGCAAATCGCACTCAGTTTTAAGATGAAGAACTACAAACCATCAATGTACTCTAAATGATGGAGAATCAGTTCTCTACAGAGACTTGCTCTCTGAAGGGTTATCTAATCCCAAGTGGGCAGCTCTAAATACAGGCATGCACAACTACCACATATATAAATGTAAGTGCCTATATGTAACAATAAAAATTAAAGAAGAGGACAAGAAATTGAGCGGAATTAGGGTGGACAAGAGAAGAGTTGGACAGGGACTGGGATGGATATAAATAATGCAAATACAATATTCAGGTAAGAAATTATTAAAAATAAAAAAAATAAAATTAAGAAATTTTGATTTATATGAATGATGATATGGAACAAATGAAGGTGAAAATTATCCATTAGCTTCTTTTTATATGTCTAGCACAGTTCTAACACATTATGTGACTCATTTCAGTTAATTAATGCAACACAGTGAAGTCAAAGTTTTATTTTATTTCATTATATGTTGCCATCATTGTGGTGCAGGAGTTGTATCAATGGCTCTGGCACTGAGCCACAAGAAAAGCTATCTTTTAAAAGCCTAAGCTTTTAGATATATCTGTGAATCCAAAGCTATCAATATAAATAAACTAGTGAAATTAAGAGGAGTTGCATCATGTTTTTACAGTTTCAATGTAAGGAAATTGGTCTTAATGTAGAAATATAGAATTTAATAAAAACTCAGACTGCAAATGCATTGACATAAGCAAAAATCCAGACTGAATACATACATATCTATATATAGATATATGTCTATCAATTATATACATGTATATATACATATATTTCCAATGTATACTATATGTATACACACACACATACATTCTTTCTACGTAAGTTTGTTACAAAACATTTTTGGAATGCCAGTCTATTACCTAATAGTTATTAATGCAATCCCAAGTACTACAACACAAGTACTAGAAAAGTTATATAGTCAGGAATTTTCCTCCTGTAGAGTGTGCAGAAAATGATAAGAATTCCAAAGGGGACAATCCAGGAATACTCTGCCCATCAGTATACCTGAAGGGAAATCATAAACTGAGGAAAACCATAATCTCAAATGATCCAACATTAGGTTTAAGGTGACACATCATAAATATGAGAGCATTGATATCTGCGCTCAAGGGACTCATGCAACCTGGGAGGAACTCATAAAACAGAATAATTTTCTATATTTATAAGCAACTGTCATAGGACTCTGGGCCATGAATTGGGTTCATACCTGAGCAAGGCAATGCCTTGCAGTTTCATTCAAGGGTACTTTTTTCCTTCACGCAGGTGAGGAGGATATTTTGAAGAAAATCTCATATAGAAACTGTATCATAACCTATAGTATCTCCTTTATAAAAAGTTGGTGACAGATCTTAACTTGTGGTGCTTACTCTCGCCATCATCAAATACTTGGAACCTTGAGGACTCTGGGAAAGTTCCCATGAGTTGCACCAGCAATGAAGCCTCCATGGAACAATGGTGATCACTGAATCATCTTGTCTTGATAGTTTTCCTTCAACCACAAAGCTATAAACCACAAGCTCTTGGGAATAGCACTTATTTATTGCTGTTTTCATCTCTAATCCTTACTGATCACTAAAGAGAGGGAGAAAATGAGTTTTAAGAGACATTGAGGATTTTATCAGCATTATTTCTGGACAGAAATACACATCATCTTTGGAGAAAGAAGGAAATAGGGATTCATCAAGAATCAATCTGTGTTATGCTGTTTGTATCTCTTTCAACATCTTCAGAAAACCCAAACTTGTAAAATCTGCAGATCCAGAAATGCATCTAGGTTAAAAGGAGACTTCTAATTAATGCCCCTGCCATCCACATTCTACAGTTGATCCTGTGATAAAAATGGCTATGGAAAATGCCTCTTCAGTGACTGAGTTCATTTTCATGGGATTAACAGCCCAACCTGAGCTCCAGCTGCCTTTGTTTTTCCTGTTCTTGGTGAACTATTTAGCCACTGTGATGGGAAACCTGAGCCTAATGAATCTCATTTTCCTGAATTCACATCTTCATTCCCCTATGTACTTTTTTCTCTTCAATTTGTCCTTTGTTGATTTCTGTTATTCATTTGTCTGTACCCCCACAATGCTGATGAGTTTTGTTTTAGAGAAGAACACCATCTCCTTCACAGCATGCATGACTCAGCTCTTTTTCTTCTGCTTTTTTGTTGATTCTGAGTGCTGTGTGCTGACAGCCATGGCCTATGATCGCTACTTGGCCATCTGTAAGCCCTTGATGTATGCCATCACTATGTCTCCTAGGACCTGTTGTCTGTTGATGTTTGGTTCATACTTGATGGGGTTCGCTAGCGCCATGGTTCACACAGGGTGCATGGTCAGACTGATCTTTTGTGATTCCAACATCATCAATCACTACATGTGTGAAATCTTCCCTCTTCTACAGCTCTCCTGCAGTAGCACTTATACCAATGAGCTCGTGAGTTCTCTCATTGCCAGTATAGTTGTCGTTGTGTCTAGCCTCATCATTTTAATGTCATATGCTTCAATCCTTTTAAATATCATTCAGATGTCATCAGCTACGGGTTTGTCCAAAGCCATGAACACTTGTGGTTCTCACATCGCAACTGTTGGTTTGTTCTATGGATCTGGGCTGCTTACTTACATCACACCAGCATCTGCGGAGTCTGTGGATCAGGGGAAATTTTTCTCAGTGTTTTACACCCTCATGGTGCCCATGCTAAATCCCATTATTTACAGCCTTAGGAACAAGGACGTCAAAATAGCAGTGAAGAGAACCATTAAAAGAATCACAAACTGAGTGAGTCGGTGTGTCTGTGGTAGTCACTGTCCACACCACGGGCTCTTTGCAGCATTTGCTTTTATTCTTGGTATCGTCTGTCTATTCTCTTCTTAATTTTTTTCTCTTCATGTTTTCCTCCATTCTGGTAAGAATTTCTACTGTATTACACTTATGCTGTTACAAATGCTGTGTAATTTTGTAAACCTATTCTTGGATTTGAGACTTATCGGCACTCTAAAGATTGTCTAACCTGATCTTCATTCCCTGCCTCAGATCAAGACCTTAGCCTAACATGTCTGTACGTTAAAGTAATAATACTAACTAGTATTTTACTTTGACTTCTCTGTTAAAAAGTATATGGAATAGAGTTGATTTTGTTAAATTTCTTGTTTGCTTGCTTTTATGAAAGAATGTCTCAGATTTATTTTCTGTTGCACTACCTACAATTCCAGTAAAAGTAATGGAGAGAACAAATTTTAGTATAAAATTGTCATATTTTCCATAAATACTAAGTTTTTTGAGAATAGTTTTATTCTACATTTTTAGCTTCACATTGTAATGAAGCTTTGTTATTTTTGACTAATATTTTATTTTTGTGGATATTTGAGGTTGTTTTAAAGCCTCATCTACCCGATTCCCCAAATTTTTCATTTATCTATGAATAATGACAGTACATTTGTAAACTGATATTTTGTTACAAATAGAAATGAAATTGCCACTGACTTGTTCCTGGATATGCATCATGTCTGTTTTTAAAATCATATCATTATATGTATAGAACACAGTGTCCCATGTAATATTAATATATTTTGATTCCTTTTGGACTGTAATAGAATGTATGTAGACTAGGTTTGTGCCCTAAGATTTTATATATATATATATATATAAATAAATGTGTGTATGTTTGTGTGTGTATGTGTATGTATATTCACAAATATACATTCATATGTATACATATGAATGAAGTTGCCCAATTGGAAATTTTTCTTTAATTGTCATCTTTGTAGAAAAAGTGACTTGGATGTCCATCGCATGTGCCACATTCTTTACAAATCTCTGTATACCTAAGTGGTCTTATCCTGTTCTTTAGATAGCGAAATGATTTCTTAAGGCAATACAGTAATGATGCACAACTTTTTTGTTGTTTAACCCGTTGAACATGCTATGAAGAAATACAAGGAAAGAAACAGAGCTGTGAAGTAAAGAGCTAACGCCTGGAGAGTTGTTTCAGTGTGAGCTGAAGCCTGGATACTGTAAGAATGATGGCCCCACCACAGTGCTTGTATTAGAGAGACTACTTACCAGGTCTTAATGGCCAAGTAGAAAAAAAGCACACACACCAATACAGGCATGATTTTAAAGTGTTGTGAACAGTGCCATTTACAAAGCAGCATTTCATCTTGTCCTTTAAGATTAGTTTGGGTGAAGCCTTTTTGGCAAAACATATTCATATTTCTCTAAGAAAACACATACTTTAAGAAGCCTATTAGATACACTATTTACTGAGAGGCAAAAATTTTCTTCATACTAAAACTTAGTTTTAAAATGTACTCTACAAAATTTTGATGTGCATGTGAGTGCATGTGCACATGTGTGTGCATGTGTGCGCACGTGAGTGTGTGTGTATGCGTTTGTTTCATAGAAGATCTGGTGTCTTTTATTAACTTGTACTTTGCATGAGGTCAGGAGAGATAGCCCTTATTGTAGATGTAGTATCAGGGAACACTTGTTCTTATACCGCAATATCATCTTATGTCGTCTCTGTGCAGATCACAGTATTTGAAATGTTTTAAAAACAATGGCTTAGAAATACAGTTTTAGAAAAGAAAATCAGTTAAAAATTTTAATTTATTCACCCCACATCCTGTTCTCATTATGGACTTGGGCAGAGGCCTGCTTTTCCTCTTGGCATCCGAGATCTCTGGACTGCCCTCTTCTTCCAGACCCTCCCACTGTGTCATGATCCTTTGCTCCCAGATCAACTCAATTCTTCATACTAGTTTCCTAGAGCCTTCACAGCCTGTCCCACCTCCAACTTGCCTTTGAACACCTGAGATCAGCCTTCTATCCTGGCTGACCCCATTCCCAACTAGCCTGGGATTCCAGAGACTAGCCCTCTTCCCTGGTAAGTCTGACCCTGTCCACTACCTTGATGCCCCTACACCCTTAGCAACTCCAATCTCCTGAACTCCACATCCCGTTCACCTTCTAGCCATGGGCACAGGTCTGCTTTTGCTCTTAACACCCCAGATCTCTGGACTACCCTCTTAACTCCATGAGACAGTGATAAAATCATGCCTTTATCTGTCCCCCTACATTGGGACCATCTACAGCCCCTCTCACTGCTGCAGTGTTAGGCTTTCTTGCCCTATGGCAGGGGCCTAGACTGCCTGAGATCTCCTGAATTCCAGTTCCACATAGGAATCTTCCCAAAATGTATTGTCCCTGCTGACTATAAAGATCCAGACCTTTGGAGGAAACCTGAGAGTATCTGATCCTCATCTGACTTGGGCCATCTGTGGGAACTTCTGAGGATCTGGACTAAAGCCGTTAGACCCCTCTAATACAAAATCCAAAGAGAGAACCTGAAGCCTAGACCAACCTACTTTTTATACCCAATAAGAAAACAACAAATGCATATCTTTCATAGTTTGCATTGAAAAGTCAATTGTAATTCTGATAGGTTTTCATTTTATCTGTAACTTGTTGTTTTTCTCTAGCAGCTTTCAGTACCCTCTCTTTGTTCTTTACCTTTAGTGTTTTTACTATGATATGCCATGAGAAGTTTCTGTTTTGGTCATGTCTAATCGGCGTTCTATGTGCTTTTTGAATCTCTATATGCAAGTCTTTCCTTAATTCAGGCAAGTTTTCTTCTATAATCCTGTTGAAGATCTGTTCAATGCTATTGGTCTAAGATTCTTCCCCTTCCTGTATGCTTATAATTAGTAGATTTATTCTTTTCATGTTTCCCCACATTTCCTGAATATTCCATTCCTGTGTTTTTTAAAAATTTAGATAGTCTTTTTAAGGAGACCAAATCACCAACTTTGTCATTCAGTCTTGATATTCTCTTTTTTTGCTTCATTCATCCTGCTTGTGAGACTATCTCCTGAGTTTCCAATTGGCTTCCTGAATTTTTCAATTTTGTTTTCATTTCTGTTTGTTTTTTTCTTTACTATTTCTATCTCTTGTGAGGTCTCTTTTTAAGTCATGAATTGCTTTTGATATTTAATTAATCCACATATTTATACATTCTTTGGCTTCCATCACAAGTTCATGCCTTTCCTCTGAGTTAAGTTTTTGTTTTTAAGTTCTTTGATCATGTTTATGATTGTTCTTTTAAATTCTGCATATTGGGGTTCCTCCAGGTGGTTCTCATTGTGGTGCACTGTTGTAGGGCTAGTAGGTTTTGTTGGAAACATATTCTCTTGTTTTTTTATATTATTTGTGATTTTTCTATTGCCGTTTGGGCATATGGGTGTTCTTTGATGGTTATGTGTCCAGTAGGAACTTCTATTCTGATTTTGTTTATGGTTCTGTTTATATTGTTTAGGTAGCTTGGTTATTTTTTTGTTCAGGTATGGAAAATAAACTGGTGTGTGTTTCAGGCTCTTATAGGGTAGTAGACTGGTCTTTGTGGATGGTGGGACATAGTAGTAGGTAGGCTGGTTAGGTTAGTAGAAGGGCTGGTCTGTGTCAAAAAGACCAGGAGCCAGTGGAGTCTATGCTAGGAAGTTTAACTAGTCTAGGTTACGATGATAGTCCAGAGATCTGGAGTGGAGGAATTGGAGGCTTCCTAGCTCTAAGACCAGCAGGGAACAGGGTGGGTCTGGGCAAAAGGAATGGAATAGAGATGCAGTGGGTGGTATCTAACTTACCAGAATCCTGAATGGAAAAACTTGAAATGAAACAGTGAAATTGAGTATAAATTGGTACAAATTCCAATGTGTCAATGGCAAAAAAAACTTTATACAATATTAAAATATAGCCCAAATAAAAAAATATAAGGAGTAGTAGATCACATGTGACATGAAAGAATGGGCAAAACAATGGGTTAAATGTTTAAGCAGAGGCAGAGAAATGGTGGCAAGGAGAGGATAAGGGCTAATCAAAACAATGTCTGAAAAAACTTTAACAGGTTGTTGAGAGAGGAAGAATCAATTTTTTTTTAGGGAATGTGGCCCTTGAGAGTCCACCCATACTACAGTAGATGTTCCTATACCATGCACATACTGGAAACACTAAGTGGATTCAGTGGGTTTAGGAAAAAGAGAGAATGAATGAAATTGGGAAGGAATGAGGGGTGGACTTGGTCAACACTCATTACGTGCATTTATGAAATTCTGAAATCCTCCCAAATAAAAGAAAAAAAAACAATAGTTTGTAAGCTAATTAATAAATATAGCATAAAATAAAAGGATATTTGAACAGAGAGTCCCTGCATGGGTGGAAATTGCCACTCCCAGAAGACAGACTGTTAACATCACACTGCCAGGTGCTAGATATGTTGTGATGAGTTAGTGTCCAGAAAGGTGCCCCAAACACCAAAAATAATACAGGTTATTGGCATTGCTTTTATTTGCTTATCATAACTAGATGGTAAGGCAAAAGATTCAACAGGCACTTGGGTTGTAGGACATATAGAAATCAATCTCAAGCTGTCTATTGGATGAGCTTGTCTTCTGACTGGCAAGAAGTGGATAGAAGCTTTCTTTTCTAGCTTTTTACATGCTTGCTTCAATCACCTCAAGCTAATTGGACTATAAGACCCTCTGTAGGAGGGGAGGGGCAAAGGTAGTCAGTCACCCCCTCCCATCCAATCAGTCAGGATTAGCTGCATGAGGGGGAGGGATGAAGGATAGGGACAGAGGAAACAAGAGAGAAGGGATGGGCTTTGCCATCTTGGAACTCTAGAAGCAGTTCAGGGAGCCATGGACGAGGATGTAGGGAATAAATCCCAGGGGTGTCCACACCTTTGTAAGTAGCCCCCACCCTATGTTGTTAGTAAGTCCAGTAAA